CCCTCCTCTCCTCCCCTCCCCTCCTCTCCTCTCCTTTCCTCTCCTCTCCGTTTCAATGGAGATAGGATCTCACTCTGTCGCCCAGGCTGTAGTGCAGTGGCATGATCATAGCTTACCGCAGGCTCAAATTCATGGGCTCAGCCTCCCAAGTAGCTGGGACAACACGTATGCACCACCATGCCCAGCTAATTTTTTAATTTTTTGTAGAGACTATGTTGCCAGATTAGTCTTAAATTCCTGGCCTCAGCTATCCTCTTACCTCAGCTGATCCTCCTACCTCAGCCTCCCAAAAGTGCTGGGATTACAGGTGTGAGCCACTACATCCAACCAACATTTTCTTTTATTTTAATTTTGTAGTTTATTCTTCTGTTGGGCCATTTATTAAAGCATACACACACACATATACAGATGCAGGTGTGTGTGTATATAAATTCATGTCTTCTTGCCTGTTGACCTCAGGTGACATTCCCAGAATGTGTCAGGTGGATGACAATCGAATTTGACCCTCAGTGTGGTACTGCCCAGTCAGAAGATGTCCTCCGTTTGTTGATTCCTGTCAGAATTGTTCAGAATTCAGGATATGGACCAAAATTGACATCTGTTCATGAAAATCTTAATTCATGGGTAGAATTAAAGAAATTTTCAGGATCCTCTGGGTGGCCTACTATGGTTTTAGTGTTGCCTGGTGAGTGTTTTCTTTTCTTTTTTTATGGTAAAATGTGTACATTTGTGTATATTTAGTAAGGAAGCATCATTTTAAATATTTATTTAATTTTTAGAGGAATTTATTGAAGACCTACTATGTATTTGAATTGCAATTACAATAGGATAAATAAGATGCCCTGGGCAAGGACTATAGCATGATCCAAGTTTTGGAGGACAGACTGTTTTGAAGATTTTATGAAAAAAGATTAGCTTGACCAAAGCAGAGTGTTAATAATGAGAAGTGGCTGTCTATGTATTTGGGACCAAATCATAGAAAAAGTGGATTAGATCTTTTATTTTCACAATAAGTACTAAATTTTCAGAACTTAAGGACTCAAATTGTTCCTTTCAAGAAAACCTGTGAACCACCTTTTGAGTTATGTTAAAGCTATTATTTCAATTGCCTTGAGGGAGTGTGTGTGTTTGTGTGAGAGAAGAAGAGAGCATGCACATCATCACACTTGTTTTTGCTGATATGCGTGTTTTTCTTTAACATAAAATTATCTAAGTGTTTAACACCATGTGGTCTGTTGTATTTTTAACCAAATGACTGTAACTACTCTTTGTGATCATTCAAACTAACAGCCAGTTTGAATTCAGAAACTTCTTTCTACTCTGAATTACCTTTGTTTGTTTGTTCGTTTGTGGAGAGATCAGAAAAAGACAAATGCCAGGGTAAAGGATTGCCCACTTTGAAATAGAAAAGGCTAACCTAGGTCACCTCAGTAATTGACAGAATTAGAAAATGATTGCCCAGATGACTTTAAAATAGAAACATTGATTAAGGAGAATTTCATCATAAAGAAAAATAACAGTTCACTTGGAATGGTCTTATTGTTTCTAGTGTTGTTTTTAGCACAATTTGCTCAAATAGGTATAAGAACTCCCCCCCAAAAAATGTATTTAGATTATTTAGTATCTGATTTGTATTGCTACCTATCTTGAGATGGATAAAAGAGAGGGAAATTTTAATAAAGCTGTTTCTGATTTGGAACTCAATTTTGGCATTTTTCTTAGGAAATGAGGCCCTTTTTTCATTGGAGACTGCATCAGATTATGTGAAAGATGACAAAGCTTCTTTCTATGGTTTCAAGTGTTTTGCAATTGGATATGAATTTAGCCCTGGACCTGATGAGGTAAAAATCAATTATCTTTTCATTCTGTTAAGGAAGATTGTGTTTCTAAGGACTGCTATTGACTTAAATTGTATTGTTCCCTATATGCAAAAAGTCTGAAATTATTTTAAGCTAGGGGTGTATAATTTAAAATATTTTATAGTTTAATTATGTGTGATGGTCTGTTTTTGGTATTTTTAATACATGAAGAGAATTGAGTTTGTGCAACAGGACCCAGCCTTTGAAGTATGATTATGCCTGTCTTGAACCTGCTCAGGTGGCTATACCTTTCCGGATAAGTAATAGAACCTGATTTCACAAAGGGACTAACTTACTGTCATCTTGTCTGAATGTTTTAAATCATACAATAAAACAAACCCAAGGTTTTGTTTGGTTCCTTCAAATTAATGAATGAAAAATTATTTGGATAATGAACCTGTAAACCTGAACCTTATAACCACCATGAGACATAATATTGAATCTCTTCCACTCTCAATCTCATTAGCTAACATGCACTTCCTTCTAATTTTAAAAGTAATACTTGAATTCAAACCACATTTTGTTAACAATCCATATTATCTGTCCAACATTTTTAAATCAGCAAATTTTATGCAATTCTACAGGGAGTCATTCAGTTGGAAAAAGAATTAGCCAATCTTGGTGGAGTTTGTGCAGCAGCTTTGATGAAAAAGGATCTAGCGCTTCCTATTGGTAAGTGTGGTCAAGTATTAGGTGTTGATAATTTTTTTTAATTTTAAGAATAGGATATGTTTATTATAAAAGATCTGAAAATAGATTTACAAAATAATCACGTATACTCTTGAGCAATAACTGCTTAATATACTGTGGTAGCTTGGGTTTGTTTAAATGGGTACTAAAGCATATTCTGTAGTCTTTTTTATTTACATGCACACATTCAAACATATACCCTCTTAATGCACATACATGCCATATGTCAGGCACTGAGTTAAGTGCTACATATATTGTATTAAACCAAAAGTTTGAGATATTTCTTAAATATCCTAGTGGAAATATCAGATAGACAATTGGATATTCATTGTCTTGAGCTCAGGGGACAAATGAGTAGAAATGTCATTTGAACACAGTTGATAATTAATGACATGGACCATATAAAAGAACACCTAGAGAATAGAGATAAAAAAGAGAAGATAGGCCAGGATTAAAGCTGAAACTTGCCAAAATTTCAAAGTTGGACAGAACAGGAAGAGAAGGCTGCAGGTAAGTCTGAAGGAACATTTAATGAAGCAGAGAAAAACTGGGAGTGTATGCCCGTGGGATTTTTACATGCTACTGAGAAATCAATTAAAATCTATTATTGAATTTGGAACTAGTTGATTATATATGTAATAAGAAATATATTAGTAAAATGAGAGAAATGTAAGGCCTTTTGGAGTGGACTGAGAGAGAATGGAAAGTAGGAAGGGGAGTCAATTTGAATACAGATAGCTCTTTGACTAGTTTTCATGTGTAACAGAACAGAGAGATAAGGCAATGGCAGAAATGGTACCTCTTTATATGAAGCAAATTTGATACTTAGATTAATTTATAATCAAGAGGGTAAAGATGAAAATAAAAATGCTTACTAATTCTATAATGTTTATACATGGTTTAACAATTTATTTTCACAGTATGTGGGACTAGAAGACATTATCATTGTATTTCCCTAATTCTCACCTCCAAAAATCTGTGTATACTCCTTCTAAGACTGCAATTCCCACTCTGTCCTTTCCTTATTCCCTTCTCTTTCTCTGCATCTTCCTTCTTTCTCTGTTCCCTTTTCTCCTCCTGGTCCCTTTCTTTCTTCTCAATTCCCTTTCTCCTACTTAGTGTTGGTATATATGTGAAAAAATGAGACCTTGTATTCTTTTTATCTAAGGAAAACTGGTAGCAAGCTCTTCGGAGGAAATTTGTCAATAGCTGTTAAAATTTTACATGTATGTACTTTCCAACATAGCAGTTCTTTATGCATACTTGTGCAAATGCTCAAAACAGGTTGACGGATGGATTAATAATATAGCAGTGATTGTGATTATAAAAGCTATAAGCAACCAAAATGTCTGTCAGTTGAGAAATGGTTAAAATAAGTAATGGTACATCCATTCAATGACAGTCTGTAGACCTATATGGCCTCACCGTGAAAGATGTTCAAATTATAGTAAATGAGAAAAACAAGTTGCAGAAGGGGGTCCCATTGTTGCACACCTCATCTTATATATGTACAGACATATGTGTATGTGTTCATGTGTGTGTACATGGACACATATACATTTATGATTTACACACAAAAGTTTCTAGAACAATTCATCAGAAAGCATTGACTCTGGATATCTTTGAGGGGGACATGGCACTGATTAGAAAGGTGGACTTTTTTTGTTCTATACTTCTGTATAGTTGGAATATTTCCCCTTGAACAAGTATTGCTTCATTAGTAACATTTTATAATTCAATCAAAGAAAAGTCAATAAAATATGTTTTATATTAGTAAAGAAGAAAATGGCTAAAGGATATAGTGACTACCTTTTGTTTTTCTGTGAGTCATTGTTGTTTCCTAAAGGCGTAGCTCTTCTATAAGGCAACCAAAATATAAAGGTTCAGATTTGGAATAATTAGTTCCCTTCCTTTTTGTGGAAAAAAAGTAAATATACTAAATTTAGAAAGTACACATTTAGACACATAAATATATATGTTCGGCACATCACCCACTGGATGCTTCTTGAGTATTGCCTTGAGAATTATAGCTTGTATTCCCACTGAAAATATAAATTAACATATATACCACTGGGATTTATCTAGAATGATAAATCTGTTTGATTGGAATAGCAGAATTGTAAAAGAGGTATAATGAATGCAAAGGACTAGAAAGTTGAACTAAATATTGACATACTTTAGTAAAATGTTTTATTTGCACGACAGGTAATGAATTAGAGGAAGATCTTGAAATTCTTGAAGAGGCTGCATTGCAGGTATTGTCCCAAACATTGATAAACTTTGTACATTAATTTAAAAGTAGTATTTTCACTCAGGTCAGCCTTATTTTTCTTGAACATAGGATAGAGTTCATTCATTAAGTACTTCATTCTCTTCATTGGCAGTTACAGAGCAACTCATAATTGCTTCCCTTATTGGGAGGACCACGTGAGCCATTGCTATACTGTGTGGTGGATATTATAACAACTCTGGAGTTAGACAGAAATCTCACGGGAGAAAAGCAAACCAAGTGCCAAGGGTGTAGGAGAAGGCTTTGCAGAGTTGTGGACGTTTAAATTGCATCTTGAAAGAAGTTTTATTTTACCAGCTAGAAAAAGGAAAAAGACATTTCACAAAGGAAACTGGAGGTATATGGTTGTATTATAAATTTTGATAGGAAGTGGCCAAAGGTGAGGTGGGTACAGTTGGTGACTTTAGACTGTGATAGACATATAAAGTGATGTTATGAGGTTAGAACCAGTTGCCTATAGGCAAATGGAGACATCAGTTGTTTTATTATCATTTGCTTTTTTTATTGTTGTTGTTTAGGCATTAATCAACTAGCACATTTGGCACTATAATGGAAATATATGAGTATTATATTTCAGTGAAGTGTTCTTTGGATCTATTATATCAATTTAGTATTTTATTTCTCAAAATTGCTAAGAGACTATTATATTGTTTTCTTACTTCATTAGTCTGAATTTATCTAGCTAGAAATCCCTAATAGGATAGAAATTTCAGCATCTGTAGGCAACATTTTTCAAATTATAATACCTACTTAGCCCAGACCAGAGACTGTTAATTGAGCACCAGTACATACTGCATACTGAGATCATCAATGATGGGGAAATTTTGCATATCAAATGGTGTGAAGATAGAAGAAAAGTTGAGTCACTCACCTGGATCAGTGGTATCCAGAGTATGGTTGATAAAAAACTTTTTGTTTCTTAGTTAAAAATACTCTTTCAGAATGTTCTATTTATTATCAACAATGTCTTATAAAATAAAGGACATTTTTATAGCCCAAAATAGAAAGGTTATAATCTTAGAATGAAAGATTCTATTATGTCCTTAGTTTATCTAATTTCATCATGGACCAGAGAATATTGAGACCACATTTGGGAAGCACTGATTTAGATCATACTTATCTTCTGTGCTAGGTGTATGTAGTTACTAGTAATAATTTAATAATTTAAATAATATCTATAGAACACTTCATAGTTTACAATATCTTTAATATTATCTCTCCATTTTTATAATTAAACTTTGAAGTCAGTATTATGTCTTCATTAATGACAATTTATAATAGCTGAAGTTCAGCATACAATTATAGTAGCTGAAGTTCAGAGAAGCCATGTGACTTACCTAAAAACTCAGTTGAGAGATAAAGGCTAGTACCCAGGTCTTCTAAATGCTAAGTTTAGTGCTTTACATTTTATTTATTTCTTGAGATGAATTGATCAGACCAATAATAATAAAAACATTTATTTCATCTTAACTTTATCAAGTACTATTCTAAACATTTTGCATATTTTTAACTCCTCACAACAGTGCTATGAATTAGAGATTCTTATCTTCATTTACAGATGAGAAAACTGAGGCATAGAGAATTTAGACAGCTTGCTCAGGATCAGACAGCTACTAAGCAACTGGGCTGGAATTTGACCTCTGGCAGTTTGGTGACAAAAATCCTTGATTTTGACCACTATGCTCCAGTCATAAGGAGCCATCGTGTTGTCAATAATGTTAAGAAATTTTGGGGTTTTAAAATGCCACTGTCATTTGAGTTTTTCGGGAAAAAAATAAGTTTAATCTTTGTAACTAAAGATTCAAAAATAAAAGTTACTTCAACAAATATTTAATAAGCACTTACTATATGTCAGGCATCATTCTAGTTAAGAAGAACCATCAAAGAGCTGATATCTTCTTTATCTTTTCGGGGATTATTATGTATATACAATGTCAGGCCAGATAGAGAAAGATATTTACTGTGCTTCTGTTCAAGAAAAAAAATTATGTCCCAAATTGCTTAACACTTACTATTTGTTAGGCAATGTATATATTTTATATGTATTATTTAATTTAAATTTTATAATAACCAGGTAAAGGATACTATTTGATCACCAGTTTATACATTTTACAGATTCAGGGATGGTAGCTTGTTAGCTCAAGAGTACATAGCAACTAATTTGTCCAAAGCTAGGATTTGAACTTAAGTCTGTTTGATTCTAAAGATAATGATTTTTAAAATTGCATAACTTATAGAATGCAAAAGTTACTGTTGTATAAATTTGATAGTACTAGAAATGTAATCCTATTCTATGAAAAAAAATTTATGAAATTTATTATATAGTCATTAAAAAGTTTCTAGAGTTTCAGCATTTAAAGCAAGTCTTTCTAAACACATAAGACTTGCTTGTCAGATAGGTTTAAACTAAAATTTCACTTTTGTCTGCCCCTTTTTCTTAACTTTAACAAGGCTTAGATGGGATAATAGGGTTTATGTGCTGTCACAATCAGGCTTCTGTCCACTTTTTGCCCAAATCGGGGCCTCAGTACCCACCCATTCAGAAGAACAGACATGACTTGCCCACGATAGCTGCCCATAACAGACACTTGAAAAGAGGGAGTCATCCAAAGCTGCCAACAGAAGGGAGCTCTGGCCCTGCCGAATGGGGATGTAACGCATAGAGAGCTGGTGTGGGAAGAGATGACCATTTTATCTAGCATGCAGATCTCCGATAAGTCACTTATTTTTTTTTTTTATTTCTGGTTATTATGGATACATAATAGTCATATATCTTTATAGGGTACATGTGATTTTTTGGTACAGACATACAATATGAATTAAGCAAATGAGGGTAATTGGGGTGTCCATGACCTCAGGCATTTATCATTTCTTTCTGTTAGGAGCATTCCACTTCCACTCTTTTAGTTGTTTTGAAGTGTACCCTAACGTATTGTTGATTATACTCACTTTGCTGTGCTATCAAACATTGTTCTTTCTATCTAACTATATTTTTGTACCCATTAACCATTCTCACTTTATCCCCCTTTCCCCGCTACCCTTCCCAGCCTCTGATAACCATCATTCCACTCTGTCTCCATGAGATCAATTATTTTTAAAATTTAGCTCCACAGATTAGTAAGAATATACAAGATTTATCTTTCTGTGATTCACTTACTTCACTTAACATAATGTTCTCCAGTTCTATCTGTGTTGTTGCAAGTGATAGGATTTAATTCTTTTTATAGCTATATAATATTCCATTGTGTATATGTACCACAATTTCTTTATCCATTCATCCTTTGATAGCACTTAGGTTGATTCTAAATTTTGGCTGTTATGACTAGTACTGCAGTAAACATGGAAGTGCAGATATCTTTTCCATATACTGAATTCCCCTCCTTTGGATATATACCCAGCAGTGGGATTGCTGGGTCATATGGTAGTTCTATTTTCAGTTTTTTGAGGAAACTCCATAGTTCTCCATAATGGTTACAGTAATTTAGATTGCCACCAACAGCGTATGAGGGTTCCCCTTTCTCCACATCCTCACTAACGTTCGTTATGGCCTTTTTGATAAAAGCCATTTTAACTGGGGTGAGATGATATCTCACTGTAGTTTTGATTTGCATTTCTCAGATGACTAATGATGTTGAGCATTTTTCCATATGCTTTTTGGCCATTTGTATGTCTTCTTTTGAAAAATGTCTATTCAGATTCTTTGCCCATTTTTTAATCAGATTATTTGATTTTTTCCTATTGAGTTATTAGAACTCCTTATATATTCTAGTTACTAATTTTTGTCAGGTAGTTTACAGATATTTTCTCCCATTCTGTGGGTTGTCTCTTCCCTTTGTTGATTGTTTCCTTTGCTGTGCAGAAGCTTTTTAGCTTGATGTGATCCCATTTGTCCAATTTTGCTTTGGTTGTCTGTGCTTTGGGGGTATTACTCAAGAAATGCTTGCCCAGACCAATGTCCTGAAGCATTTACCCAATGTTTTCTTTTAGTAGTTTCATAGTTTCAGGTTTTAGATTTAAGTCTTTAGTCCATTTTGATTTGGTTTTTGTATGTGGCCAGAGATAAGGGTCTAGTTTTATTCTTCTGCATATGGATATCCAGTTTTCACAGCAACATTTGTTGCTGAGACTGTACTTTCTCCACTGTATATTCTTGGCGCCTTTGTTGAAGATAAGTTCATTGTAGATGTGTGGATTTATTTCTGAGTTCTCTTTTCTGTTCCATTGGTCTATGTGTCTGTTTTTATGCCAGTACCATGCTGTAGTGGTTACTATAGCTCTGTAGTATAATTTGAAGTCAGAAAATATGATTCCTCCAGTTTCGTTCTTTTTGCTCAGGATGGCTTTGTTTCTTCTGGGTCTTTTGTGGTTCCATTTAAATTTTAGGATTATTTTTTCTATTTCTGTGAAGAATGTCATTGATATTTTGATGGGGATTGCATTGAATCTGTAGATTGCTTTGGGTAGTATGGACTTTTTAGCAATATTGATTTTTCCAATACATGAGCATGGAATAGCTTTCCTTTTGTGTGTGTGTGTGTGTTTGTGTGTCCTCTTTAATTTCTATCATCAATGTTTCATAAATGTAGTTTTTGTTATAGAGTCTTTCACTTCTTTGGTTAAGTTTATTCTGAGATGTTTTATGTTATTTGTAGCTATTATAAATGGGATTACTTTCTTGATTTCTTTTTCAGATTGTTTACTGTTGGCATATAGAAATGTGACTGATTTTTGTATGTTGATTTTATACCCTGCAATTTTACTGAATTGATCAGTTCTAATAGTTTTTTTGTGGAATCTTTACATTTCTCTAGATATAAGATCGTATCATCTACAAACAAGGATAATTTTACTTCTTCCTTTCCAATGTGAATGTATTTCTTTCTCTTGTCTGATTGCTCCAGCTAGAACTTTAAATACTGTGTGAATAACAGTAGTGAGAGTGGGCATCCTTTTCTTGTTCCAGATCTTAGAGGAAAAGTTTTCAATTTTTCCCTGTTCAGTCTGATACTGAAGCTTTTCTTGGATGGGAGACATTTTGTTACTGCTTCTATCTCATTACTTGTCATTGGTTTATTCAGATCTTGGATTTTTTTCTGGTTCAATGTTGGTAGGTTGTATGTGTCTGGGAATTTATGCATTTCTTCTAGGTTTACCAATTTATCGGCATATAGTTGCTCATAGTAGTCTCTAATGATCCTTTGGGTTTCTGTAGTATCAGTTGTAATGTCTCCTTTTTCATCTCTGATTTTATTGGGTCATCTTTTTTATTTATTTTTTATTTTTTTAGTCTGGCTAAAGGTGTGTCAATTTTGTTTATCTTCTCAAAATACCAACTTTTTATTTTGTTAATCTTCTGTGGTTTTTTGTTTTATTTCAGCTTTGATGTTCATTATTTCTTTTCTTCTGCTAATTTTGAGTTTAGTTTGCTCTTGTTTTTCTAGTTCTTAGAGATGCATCATTAGGTTCTTTATTTGAAACTTTTCTACCTTTTTTATATAAGAAGTTAAGTCACTTATTTTTGAAGGAAGAAAGAGTCTGGAAGTATTACCCCATATTTTTCCCTCCTAGAAATTTTCTACCATATAGGCTAATAGAAGGAACACTGAAAAAAGAGTGTATGTACTAAAGTTTTATATTTTAAAATGTACAAATATTGTTTTTTACTTAACAGGTGTGCAAAACCCATTCTGGTATTCTTGGAAAGGGTTTAGCTCTTTCTCATTCACCAACTATATTAGAGGCACTTGAAGGAAACTTACCACTCCAAATTCAAAGCAATGAACAGTCCTTTCTGGATGATTTTATTGCTTGTGTTCCAGGATCAAGTGGTGGAAGGCTTGCAAGGTAATGTATTCGATGTATTATAGTTATTTTTTTTTTAGGGCCTTCCTCTGTCTTCATTTATGAAGAGAAATGAGGGGGAATCCTTAGGAACTTAAAATGCTCCCTAAAAAATCTTGTGTATGCGTTTTGAACTTGCCAAAGTATAAAACGGTAGTTAGTATTCCAAAATATTTTAAGATACATGATAGTTATTAATTGATTGTTTTGTTGCTATTTGCTTTTTTTTAGGATTAAAATAAACACATGCTGGCATATTTTATATTACTAGTAAAAAGATAAAAATCTAACTTCTTTCTGATTTTAATTTTAAAATTGTGGAGATTACACTTTAGTTTTTACAAACCATAATAGTGATTGGAGAGGAATAACACATTTTTTAAGTTAGCTCACTGCCGTCTTTGCAGACATTTCTATGTAATGCATGACAGAATTACATATTACTCATCTCACGGGACAATATGAGTGTAGATCAGGTAATACATTCAGGAATGGATATCACGAACTGTAGACAATTGGCAAATTTACATGGAAAGGAAGGTAGTTCAGAAATTGTGTAAAGAAAAAATGGATGGACGATGCACATTGAACTTAGCTGCTCTCGGGCAAGCAGGAGGTCATTTCTCTCCCTGTTTTTTCAGAGAAACTGCTCTTTCCTTGGCTTTCAGCCTGGCAAATTAAGGCAGACTTCCCTCAGTAAGAATGAGTGTACTCAGAACTTCAAAGTATACTCAACCTAAATTTGTTTTCTTGCTAATTTTAAGTTAGCTAGTTAAAATGTCAAGTTTCCTGATTTTAAAATTGTTTTTATACCGTACATAAACAGCAGAAATCTTATGTCATTTGGCATGTTTTTTAATGAATTTGTCATTAATAGTTTCCAAGGTAGATGCTTGTGATTATCACTGAATCAGAAATGAAGATACTATTTTAATATTTTGTTTGATAAAAGTTTTGTTTGGCTTGATTTCAGGTTAATCATTGAAGTTGCTAATGAATGTCCGGGTTTTTGTTTGTTTGTTTTTCAATACTGTTAGGTGGCTTCAGCCAGATTCCTATGCTGACCCTCAGAAAACATCTTTGATCCTGAATAAGGATGATATTCGTTGTGGTTGGCCTACTACCATAACTGTTCAAACGAAAGACCAGTATGGGGATGTGGTACATGTTCCCAATATGAAGGTAATTATAACTGAATTAAATGAACAAACATCTGTACATTAACTGTATTTTATATGATAAATGTTTTAGAAATGGCGAGTGCTTAGAGTCCATTTGTTCTACCCTCATTAGCTATATATAATGGAGGACACTGACAAATTGTTTAAATTACTTCTTCATATTAATTAGTCCCCAAGTTAGTCATACATTTTTCTTTGTTTTGTGCATATTGCTGGATGCTATAATGATTCAAAGAAAGTATCAGAAAGTGTCCATATAAAGAACGGCAGTCACCTAGAGGGAAGGCCCTCAATACATAGTAATTGAATAAATACATAAAAGAATGTGTTAATTTTGTATATATATTTTAAAAGATTCAAATACATTCTTCATTTGGTATTACTGAAACCACATTTTAAAAAATAAATTAATTTATTTCGAAATAATTTAATTTATAAAATAAATTAGAAGTATATGAATTTGGACTATAAAAGAATGAGGAATGGAAATAGTTGTGTGCTATATTGATGAACATAGAGTTCTTTAGATATCCCTTACCTGAGACACCAATTAGTAATGATGTTTGAGAGCATATTCTAAGGCATATAATTAAGTCCTTTGTGACATAATCTGTTAATATATATGTCTCAATTAAAACTTTTATTAGGCCGGGCGCGGTGGCTCATGCCTGTAATCCTAGCACTCTGGGAGGCCAAGGCGGGCGGATTGTTTGAGCTCAGGAGTTCGAGACCAGCCCGAGCAAGAGCGAGACCCTGTCTCTACTAAAAAATAGAAAGAAATTATCTGGACAACTAAAAATATATAGAAAAAATTAGCCGGGCATGGTGGCACATGCCTGTAGTCCCAGCTACTAGGCAGGCTGAGGCAGTAGGATCGCTTGAGCCCAGGAGTTTGAGGTTGCTGTGAGCTAGGCTAACGCCACAGCACTCACTCTAGCCAGGGCAAAAGAGTGAGACTCTGTCTCAAAAAAAAAAAAAAAAACTTTTATTATATTTCTGAAAAAAGTTGACACTGAACGAAATTTGTATAGGCAGTCTTTAGCTCTTTTCTTCTCCAGAATTGTATTATAAAGTGATTTGATTGTTTAAAGCTGAGAGTTATTAAGCCTCAAAATTCTTTTTGCTCACAGAGTAGCTAATTTTCCTTTAATATTATTTTCAGTAGAACTTTTCAAGTAGTTTGTGCATACTTTGATTTAATAGCATGAAGAAACACAATGCCAGTGTAACCTCTTACCTGACTCAGTAAAAAATAAGAGCACATTGCTCCCATGACTTAAGACCAATAAATGAAACTATATGGGAAAACATTTGACCTTGTTACTAAATAAAAATCAGTCTTGAACAGTGTCTTTCAAATTTTGGGGCATGATCCACAGTCAGAATTTGCATCATGACCCAAATATGCAAATACTGTATATGATGGAATAGTATATACTCTTAAGTTCATCTGATGTGCTTTACACACACACACACACACACACACACACACACACACACACACACAAACATTATGCTATGTCTGATATTTTCTCTTCTATCTTTGTTTTTTAAGGCAGATCATACCCCAACAAAGTGAATTCATGCCCACTCAGAATTATTCTGTGAAATGCAAAAGCATCACAATTTATAAGAAAAAAAAGTTGAATGGAAAATAAAGTGACCCTGATAGTGACACCAAAAAAGACACTACCTGAGGACAGAATTCTGATCACAATACAACACACATTAAGATAGTGAGCGGCTTGTGTATTGTTATTCACCAATAAATTTCTCACTTGAGTGTGTGTAGTGAGTTGTTAAATCCAGTCTGTAAATCCACAAGATTAAGTTCCTTATTCATGTGACAACATTGTAATACCATTTTCCAAGTTAGCATACATTTAATTTTTTCTTAATGTTCATACTGTTATGCTTATAGTATTTCTTTTGTTGTAGTTCTTTCTTATGTTTCTTCCTTTGCATCTTTTATTGTCTTTGTTTTGATATCTGTGTTGTTTATATCTTGCATTTCAGTCAGCCTTTCTGCTTTATCTTTTTGTCTCCTTCTCTTTGGGTTCTTTTTTTAACCACATGATGAATCTTTCATTCCTCTCCTCTCCTTTCCCCTCTTCTGTCCCCTCCTTCTTCCCCTCCCCATCCCTACCCTCCTTTCTTTCTCTAATATATTTACTTTTCTTACTTTGTGTCCTTCTTTACCTTAAACTTCTTAATGTGCTCAAAATCCATATCAAATTTATCTCTAATTTAGAAACCATATCTGGAAAATTTGTCAAGTACTATTTAAAAGAAGTGTTTTGTGTTCCTATTGATGTTTAATTTATTAATATCCCGTTGTCATATTAGCTAAAAACAAAATTAATTTTATCTATTTTACTTTTAGCCTGATAGCACATGAAATCTTAGGAGCATTTTAGACCCCCCCAAAAAAATTATTAAAATCTTTATATAGTAAAGCTAATTATTTCAACCATAAAGGTTGATCTGACACTAATATTTTGTTGAGTTCCAAAATGCCCTTTAAAGCAGTATTACTGTTATATTTTTTTTACTTATAAAATGATTATTCCAAGGAAATCTTATTTAGTGACAAGAGAAAGTCACATAGGAAATTTAAAAATACCACATCTTTAAAAGAAGCATGGTTTATAAAAGAAAGCAAAATAGTTATTCTCTTAGAGTATAAAATTATTCAGTGATTTTTTTCAGGGCTCATGGTACATAGGTTAATTTACATAGGGTAAACATAGTTATAGAGAAAGGATAAGTTAATAATAGTGATAAAATAAAATAAATAAATAAATGTGATATCTATAATTCAAAATGAAATGTCTTAAAATTTGAAAGTATTTGCTTTTTTTTTATTCATTTAAAATTTAAAGCTTTTTAATGGTAGTACATGTACATGAGCTGAAGAATTTTACCATATACCTTTATACTGCTGTTTCTGAAATACTGGTAAGAATGGGTTTTTAATATTTCCCGGGCATTATGCCAGTCCAAATATTGATCTCTCACACCCCAACTGAAGGTTTTGGTTATTTAATGGAACATATTTGTGAGCTGTACTTTATGTAGCTAGTGAGAGTCTCAAACTACAGATTTCATCGAATAGCATTATTAATAAGAACAATAAGCATTAAAGACATTCTGCAGTCCTGAGATGCCGCTCAATTACTGAGGTAATACTGTTCCTTTCTTTTATGTTGTATTTTTTTATTTCTGTGAAGTTCCTGTTGTTGAATTACCTATGCTTGACAACCATAAATATAGTGTCTATAAGGAACAGCAAAAACTATGAGGGAAGATTGGAGTGATGATAGCTAATGAGGAGCTAAAGTGGTATTCAACTTGTTTATAAATTTGTGGTTGCCTAGAGGTAACCTGGTTTTTTGCCAATATGTAAACAAACAAACAAAAACAGAATAAAATGCTTTATTATAATTTCTGGAAAACATTTCTGAAAAGTATTTTTTTATGAGACAGTATTTTCAATGCTTTAACATGCCTTAACAAATCTGTTCTTTGCATCTATACAGTAGAGTAAGTTAATGAAAGATATTCCTCTTTTATTACTGAAGAAACTGAGTTGCAAAGTTCAATTAGATTGCTTAAATCAGATGGCTTGTGTTGGTGACAGAGCTATCTAAAGAATAGTCTTTTTCCACCAAAGTAAAAAAACATACTTAGGCTTTAGGTGTAAGATAAGATATATTATGTGTCATTTTTAAGACTTCTATCAATGGAGTACATTTTCTTCTGCGTAACAGTACAGCTGAAACTGAATTTAGTGCCCTAAAATATACTGAGATTGTCCAAAAGTATTTATACTTGAATTACCCTAGAAAATAATTTGTTAGTCCCTACAAGAATTCAATGTAGATTCATTCTACCATCCTTTTATGGATTTTATTAATGGTGACATTTATTTTTGTTTTCTGTTTGATAATTGTGATTATTTATTGAAAAAAATGAGGCCTCTGTTTTACACAGCATTCAGGGTCTATACTGTACACCCATCTTGAGGTATTCTGGCTCTGTTAAAGAAGACTTTGAAGGGAATGCCCAAGATAAACCAATGCTAACATAAAATTTATGTAATTGTGAATGCATAATTGTAAGTTGCTTCTTTTGATGTGTCAAGGACAATTATATGATAATATTTGGTTTTCATAATATCATGGTTAGGTGGAAGTGAAGGCCGTCCCTGTTTCTCAGAAAAAAACATCTTTACAGCAAGAGCAAGTAAAGAAACCTCAAAGGATTCCTGGCAGTCCTGCAGTAACAGCTGCATCTTCTAATACTGATATGACTTTTGGCGGACTGGCATCACCAAAGCTGGATGTTTCATATGAACCAATGATAGTGAAGGAGGCTCGATATATTGCCATAACTATGATGAAGGTAATTAATTTTACTTATCAGAAAAATTTTATTTTTCACTATTCATTCATTTAACAAACATTTCAGTGGTTCAAATGCAGATATAAAATTACAGGTCTAGAGAGCTGTTGATAGATGTTAACCCTGCATCTTTTAACATGATATTATTTTCCTTTGGTCTCCAGAAGGAATATAGCTCCATGACTCTTTAGCTCAGTGAGACTTTTGACCTCCAGAACTGTAAGATAATAAATTTGTGTTGTTTGAAGGGAAAAAAGAAAAAACCCAAAAAAGATGATGTTATGTTCTTTCAGAGAAAATATTTTCACTAATTTTTGGCAGATGTCTAGAGGAAATTAACAATTATAGATCAGGTTACTCTGATCAGAGATTGAGATGGCTTAAAGCTGGACTTTAGTTCCTTCAAAAGTACTTTTCTATTTTCAATTTATTATTACTGCTAGAACATAGCTCTTCAGGGTTTTCCTGGGCCCCCTTTAGTTTCTGGGTACATCTCTTTGGGTTTCCTACTACTTCAGGCTTTTAAAGCTCTGCAATGATTTTAGACAGATTTTTTAAAAATATTTTGTCTGGCTTTCTTAGTTATCTTCAGAGGCAATGTTAGTCCAAATTATTCAGATAGTCATTTGAAGCTGAAGTTGGTAGTTTTGGCATTTTCACACAGCAGAGGTGAGTCATTGAAGGCTTTTGAGTAGAGGAATGGCATGATTAGATTTGTGTTTTATAAAGGTCATGGTGGACTGTGGACATGTACTTGGCAGATAGATGATCAAGAGTCATGGTTTGGTTTCACTCTCTTTAGGAGACTATTGACTTAATCTGGTGAGATATGCTGATCACTGGGACCAGTGAGTTGTCAATCAGAATAGATTCAAGAGATATTTAGCATATAGAATCAATAGGACTTGGTGGCTAATGGGAGTGGGGTAAAGAGAAAAAAGGTAGGAAATAAAAGATGAAGTTCACATTTTGAGCTTGAGTAGTAAGATTGATAATGTAGGACGAGGGGCAGGTTTTGGTTGAGCAAGATAATGGATTCAGTTTTGGATGTGATAAGTCTTACATATCTTTGAAATATCCATGTGAAGATGTATAAAAGGAAGTTGGTTGTGCAGATCTGAAGTGATCATAGTTTGACCTCAAGAAAAGAATTTGGGAATCTTTAGCCCTTCAATTACTTATGAAGTCATGGGAATAGATGGTATCTTCCATGGTGAATGAAGAGAAAATTTCTAGGACAGGATACTGAGAAACACCAATATTGACGACTCTCAAATTTTTGTCCACATCAGAATCATCTGGAGTACTTATTTTAAAAAGGAGGTTTTCCAAACAGCCAGAGATTTAGATTCAGTGGGTCTGGAGAAAGGTTCAAGAATTTGCATTGAAAACAAATATGCAGAGTGATTCAGACTCAAAACCTATGCTTTGGGAAACATTCATTTATAGGATAGATAAGAGGGAAAGAAAATAAAAAGAAAGGAAAAGGAAAAAAAAAATAAACCACATTGGTAAGAATACTAGCCAGAGAAGTAAGTCATAGGTAAGATAATAGCTGAAGTGAGTGCAGGTAACTCTATCAAGATGTTTGGGCATACAAAGAACCAGAGGAAATGGAATTGTGAGCTTTGGAGTTTAGGGTTTAATATAGAGAGACTTAGGTGGTTTGAGTACTGATGAGGAGACAACTGAGAGAAAGGAAACAATAAAGATGCTCTGGTATGTAGAGCTCAGGTGGTAGGATTGTCCTTAAATAGGAGGAGTAGGGAAAAGAAAGTAATTAATACAGATGCTAGTAAATTTGTAAGTTTTGTAGCCAAAAAAAAAATTGTTTAATATAGTAATTATATGTTTTAGATGGAGATGGGAGTGGTGAATTGTAGGGTCAAGATTTTGAAACAAAGGGAAAAAGTGAAATAGACATTGTGGAGATTGAAAGAGAAGACTGATCAGAAAAGATTTATCAGACATCCTTAAAGAATCAGTTGAAATTGAAGATCTTGTGTCAGTAGCAGTGTGAATCATACAAACATGGATAAAATGGTTATTTGGATTGATCCAGCCTTGGAATTTTATCAGATAGTTCAACAAAAGAACAGTGAAACAAAGAAGTTGAGCATATGGTGCTTAAAGAGAGGATATTGGTTTGGAGAGGAAGAAGGAAGAGGATTCAGGGAAAGAAAGTCAAAGGGATGAGAGGGGGAAGTCATCTAAGAAGGAGTTGTTGAGGTAGAAAACTGAGCAGGCCATTTTAGTTTGATTTCAGAGATAGAACAATTTTGAGTAATGTCACAGGTCTGCGACTTCTGGTGTGAATGGCTGAAATAAAGTTGAATTTAAAATTATTTCGGTTAAAGAAATCAAGAAACCAAAAAGCTGATGTTTTAGATGAATTGTCCACTGGCTATTAAAAAATTCCAAGCTAAACATTCTTCTTCATTCCAACATATATTTAAAAGATTTAATTTCTGGTTTCCTTACTTCCCTAATCATTCATTTAATTTCCTATGAACATGCTTCAATTTGTGTAATTTCTTTTGAAAATCTAGTTACCACAACTGAATATTGTATTTCAAGAATGTTGTGAGTAGCTCAGGCTTAGAATAAGTATAGAATACCATTCCCAAACTATCTCTTTGAGATGTTAATTCATGCTCCAGGAAAGGAAATTTTCTTATATCAACCATTCACAGGTACTATGTGTCTACCCAGTAGTGAGCCAAATATTGTAGAGGAGGAAAAAGTGAGATGTAGTCTCTTCTTTCATTATTAAATGGGATAATACGTATTTGAGGGAAAGTGATGGAGTGGAAAACATATTTTACTGGGAGTCTGAAAACCTGAGTTTTCCTGCTATTAACACTTTTGTATGTTAGCCACACAAAGACTAACCTTAAATTGCGTCTCATGTGTAACTTTTGAGTAGGTAAAGACAGCTAGATCATTTCTAAATCACTTTCACAAAAACAGAAAGGTTGGGAGAAATGAAGGGGGCTTGTGAGTACATGTGTTTCTCTTTCCTGTAAGTATAGAGGTTAAAAGTGGATGAGCAGTTGGAGATCCTGACATGAACCCTGAAAGATAATGATTACTTTGGTAACACTGCAGGCATAGGAAGTATTGGGAATAATGTGCCAAGTTTTGTGTACCTACAGTCCATTTTTGTCTTTACATTTTGCCGTAATTGTTTCAGATCTTTGTTATTTTTATTAAGAAACAGTTTGTTACAGGTACAATTGAAGCCTTAACGTAAACCCTTTCCCAGACCTATTCCCACCCATTCCTTAGAGGTAACCACTATCCTGAATGTAATGGTTCTTATTCCCATATATATTTTTTTACTTTTACTAAATACAAATTTATCCATAAACAATGTATTTACAATTATTTGGCATGTTTTCCAAAACTTTATAAAATAGAAACATAAGGTACATACAATTTTGCCAGTTTTTTGCTCAGGATTGTTTTTTGAAGTTCAGCCCTGTAGCTGTAATAGTTTATTCATTTTAACTGCTTTAAAGTATTCAATTGGGTTACTCTTCCATAATTTGTCCATTCTCCCATTGATGGACATTGATTATAAACTGTACTGAAATAAACATCTTTGTATTTGTCCCCTTTTGTGTACACAAGCAAGAGTTTCTTTAATATTTATATCTAGAAGTGGAATTACTAGATTGTAGAGCATGCATATCTTCAACTACATTAAATATTACCCAAACTTATACTCCCACCAGCAACATGTGAAAGTAGCAGGTATGGCATATTCTCGTCAGCACCTGTTCTTATCCACATGATTTGATATGATTTATTTTGTTGTTTTAATTTATATTTCCTTGATTGCCAGTTTAGTTGAACAACTTTTCCACTGTTTATTGGCCTCTTGGATTTCTTCTTCTCTGAATTGTCTTTACCCTCTTTTCTTTTGTGTTTCTCTCTTTTTGTGTTGATCAATATAGATTATGGGTGCATATCCTTTTTGGGTTATATGAGTTAAAAATCCCCTTATCCCAGGTGGAGGCTTTTCCCTGTCTTTATAGTGTCTTTGTTTGGGGGAAATTTAAAATTTTAATATGCACAAAAGATGTGGGGTTTTCTCTCCTTTTTAAAAAAATTTTGTTTTTTCCTTTTGTATCTTTAACACACTTAGAATTTATTTTTATAAATGGTCTGATACAGATAATCGAGTTTTTTCTTTTTCTCCCATATGGATAACAAGTTGTATCAGCACCATTTATTGAATATTTTATCACTCCCTTAATTGAGAATGTTTCTAATGATTTTATGATTGTTACTGGTCTCTTTCTTAAAGGTTTATGAAAATTATTCATTTGAAGAATTGCGTTTTGCATCACCAACTCCTAAGAGGTAAAGATCGTTTTCTCAAAGCATAGCCAAAGCATGTGTTATCGACTGCTTGTGACTAAAATCATCTTACAATTCCAACTTATTTTCCCTAAGTAACTGTTTTATAGCATTTTTAAAGTTTCCAATAGAGATTTTCCACATAATGTGTAGATTTTCAGGTAAAATATTTATATTCAACTTTAATATTGCTAATAAGTTATATTATACTACCATACTAGAGAAATAATTAGTATCTAAAAATGTATAAATTGGCTTGTTCAGCATTAGTTTGTTTTTTGTTTGATTTTTTGCTATTTTTTAATTATTTTTTAATTGAGATGCCAAGATAGCTGTTAGTTATTTAACTGGGGATATCAACTAAGCAACCAGAAAGACCAGTTTAAAACTCATGGGAAAAATTAATTTGGGAGTCATCCATTGTAGAGGTGGTATTTAAAACTGAGGAATGGATGAATCAGCTAGAAAGTTGGCATAGAAAAGTGAAGACTTGGACCCAAATACTGGGGCATTCAGTAAGTTAAAGGGTGGTCAGAACAGGTAAAGCCAACGAAACTCTCAGAATGTCCAGTGAGATAAGAGAAGAACCAGGAGAATATCACAGAAGCAAAAAGAAGGAAGTATTTTAAGAAAGTAAGAGTTGTCAACTACCAAACACTACTGAGATTTCTGAGAATGAAGAAGTGACCATCGAATTTGGGAACATTGTAGTCATTTGTGACTTTAACATCAGCAATTGTAATGAAGTGTTAGAAACAAAAGTCTAGTAAGGATAAATTGTGGAAGAGAAGTAAAAATGAGAAAAGGAAGAGGGTGGTTGCAGACAATTTTTAGATACCTTTTGATATAAATGGGAGAAGAGATATGAGACCCTATTAGGGCTGTAATATCAAGGGAAGTTGTGTGTTAAGATGAGAGATTCTAAAGTTTGTTTCTATGCTTATGGACATGATCCAGTAGAGTGGAAGAAATTGATATGCATGAGAGAGAACAAGGTTATTGCAGCAAAAGGTTTTGAGGGAATGAGATTCACAGCACAAGGGGAGGGGCTTGCTTTGGATAAAACCCAGGATACTTCTTCTATTGTAGCAGGGAAAAGTAGGTTTATTAATTTGTTTGCAGCTTTGAGATTGCGTGTTTTTTCACTGAAGAAAGGGGGGAGGTCATGGTCAGCTGAAGATAAGGAAGAGGGGAGATGGAGGTTTGAGGTAAGAAAGAAGTAAAATTCAATCATTGAAGAGTAGGAAAACATACTATGGCAGGGCAGTAGGATTGCCAGGCAGTATGATAATATACACAGAAATCAAATGTTTGCTGAACTGTCATAATGATGTTGGTTATTTAACCAAAAGTAAAATTTCCAATATCCATCTTATTTCTTTTCAGACCCAGTGAGAATATGCTGATCCGTGTCAATAATGATGGCACTTATTGTGCAAATTGGACTCCAGGGGCTATTGGACTCTACACTATTCATGTTACTATTGATGGCATTGAAATAGGTATTTTTTCTTTAAGTTATGAGTGAATTACTGCAAAACTGGAATCAAAGTCATCTTTCTGTTTTAGTTTTGCCCTTTTAACTTGTGTCAAATGTGTGGACAGGTTTCATAACTTCATCATGAGTACTTAATTAGTGCATTCCTAAACTTGTAACATTTCGTAATAATTCATAATGTCTGCTCAGGCTTTGTAGCTTGCATGACTCCTTCCCTCCTTTCCCTGATGTGACTGTTGGGTGTAATCTCCTTCATGCTGCTGTATTACCCTGTACATACCCTGTCTCCCCCTTGTGGTATGCCTGTCTGCCTCTGCTGGCTGTTAGCAGGGACTATCTCATTCATATTTGGATGTTCCAGTGTAGCTCAGTCACTGACACATATGGCTGGCTGCTCAGTAAATATTGGTGAATTGAATGAATTTTCTTTATCTACCATTGTTTTCGTCAGTGTTCTCCAGAGAGACAGAACCAGTAGGATATATATACAGTCATGTGCCTTATAACAGTGTTTCAGTCAACTACAAACTGCATATGTGATGGTAGTCCCATAAGATTATGATAACCACATTTTTACTGTACCTTTTCTATGCTTAGATATGTACAGATATACAAATACTTATCACTGTGTTACAGTTGCATACAGGATTCAGTACAGTATGCTATACAGGTTTGTAGGCTAGGAGCAATAGGCTGTACCATATGGCCTAGATGTATATAGTCTATACCATGTAGGTTTGTGTAAGTACAGTCTATGATGTTCTTCACACAGTGACAAATAGTCTAATGACATTTCTTAGAACATATCCCCATCATTAAGCAACACACAACTTTATAGATCTATGAAAGGGAATTAATTAGGGGAATTAGCTCATGCAATTGTGGAGGCTAAGAAGTCCCAAACAGACCATCTCTAAGCTGGAGACCCTGAGATACTGGTAGCATGGCTCAGTCTAAGTTAGAAGGTCTCAGAACCATGGAAGCAGATGGTGTAACTCTCAGTCCAAGGCCAAAGGCCTGAGAATTCATGGTGTTGCTAGTGTAAGGACTGGAGTCTAAAGCCTGGGGAGCATGGAGTTCTAAGTCTAAGGACAGGAGAGGAAGAGTGTATCCCAGCTCCAGGAGCTAGACATGTTTGCTTTTCTTCTGTTTATGTTCTCACTGGCCCCCCGCCAATTGGATGGTGCCCATCCACACTGAGGGCAGATCTTCTCCATCTAGTCCACTTAGACTCCCGTGCAGTCTCCTTTAGAAGAGTTCTCACAGACCCAGAAATAATGCTTTACCAGGTTTCTAGGTATTCCTTAATCCAGTCAAGTTGACACCTAAAATTAATCATCATAACCATTAACTTCGAAAAACATATTACTTCTCCTTTGGGACATTTTTCTTTTCTTTTAAACTATCTGTATCATAGGATAACAGTAGAATGAGAAAACTCTAGTGTTGATCAATGCGAATTTCTTACAGCACTATTGTTCCTGATGCTTCTCAAGAAAAAAGGTTCCCATGATCAGATTTTGAAAACCTGGTACAGGTTGAGTATCCCTTATCTGAAATGCTTGGGACCAGAAGTGTTTTGGATTTCAGAATTGTTTGGAATTTTGGAATATATGTATTATATTTACCAGTTAAACATCTTTAATCTGAAAACCCAAAATTTGAAATACTCCAATGAGCATTTCTTTTGAGGATCATGTTGGTGCTCAAAAAATTTTGCATTTTGGAGGATTTTGGATTTTCAGATTTGAAATGCTCAGCCTTTATATCGTTGTCTCACTTGAGACATTCATACAATCTACATCAACATATTAGGGATTCTGAGAAGTTCTAAAATTGATAATCTTTGTTTAATCTTTATCATAGAATCTCCTGTGTGGGCGGGGAGAGAAAAAGGGAGGGTAGAGATAGAAGCAATACTGATTAATATTTCACTGAAACACTCTTTGGGAAACCTTGCTTTAAGTAGTGTTTTTTTTTTTTTTTTTTTTTTTTGAGACAGAGTCTCACTCTATTCCCCGGGCTAGAGTGCTGTGGCATCAGCCTAGCTCACAGCAACCTCAAACTCGTGGGCTCAAGCAGTCCTACTGCCTCAGCCTCCTGAGTAGCTGGGACTACGGGCATGCGCCACCACGCCCAGCTAATTTTTTCTATGTAGATTTTTAGTTGTCCAATTAATTTCTTTCTATTTTTAGTAGAGACAGGGTCTCGCTCTTGCTCAGGCTGGTCTCGAACTCCTGAGCTCAAACAATCCACCCACCTCGGCCTCCCAGAGAGCTAGGATTACAGGCGTGAGCCACCGCGCCCAGCCAGTAGTGTTTTTTTTTTCTTTCTTTGCAGTAGAGGCAAAAAGGTCCTTTACATTGATGTAACTTACATTCTTATACATTAATGTAACTGTATAAAATCAGATCATCTATACCATTCCAGAGAACATTTACCCACAGCATTTGCTGTATTCTTATTTCGGCATATCCATAAAGCCTTTAGTTCAGCCAGCATTTTTCTGTTCTGAGCAAAACATTGTTATAGATAAGACACTTCCTGTATTAACAGTTTCTGAGAATTGCCACAAAAGAACAGGCAAACAAAAATCATATGAAGTACAATATAAGTAGTGACACACAAGACATACAAATTATAGTAGGGATTCAAAAGTGGAGGTAAGAATGACATTGTAAAGGAGATTTTTTTCCTCTCTAAAAATACTGGTAAAATTCCAGTAGCTAAAAGTTTTTTAATCATCTTATCTAATAGTGAGATGAAGGAAAATGATACAAAGTAGATAAGAAAATCCACTTTTATTTTTTTTTGTAATGAAGCTGAAGAAAAAGACTCACGTTTACTTAGAATCATCCATTTTCTCCCCTACTTACCTTCCCTACTCTTCTTCTTAACTCAGCTTTCTCCCAAACTGTCAGTGGGCTAGGATGTTGCTTGACCATAGACAAGGACAGATAAGGATTCATTAATATAATGACGATAGTAAGAGCTAAGGTTTATTGAACACTTAATATATGTTCAACATTGTTCTACACATACCTTATTTTTTTTTAATCATTTAATTCTCACAGCAGCTCAGTGAGGTAGGGGCTATTATTGTTCCCATTTTACAGATGAAAAAAATTGAGGCACAGAAAGTTAAGACAGATACGGGAGCACCCAAGGCAGTCTAACATGAGAACCTCAGCTTTTAACAACTGTGCCATACTGCCTATCAGTCATAGAGATGACTGGTATAGAGGTTGAGTGTATTCTAATCTAACGTTTCAGATAACATTTAAGCACATAGAATTTCTTTTTTTTATTATTTTGAATTTTTTCAATGTCATTTCATATGTTCTAGTTAAAGAATAGGAGCCGCCTCTTTTCCTTGAAACGTTGAGATACCCCTTTAGAATCTCAGAACCATTTTTCAATTAGTTCTCTTTTTTAGCCTGTTAGTTATCAATCACCGTAAAAGGACAGAATTCCGATATTTGTTTTGTTTAAAATAATCTGTGAATGTTTATAAGATTAGGTTTAAGGATCCTTCCTCTCTTCTCTTCTCAGTGTTACAGTTCCCTTCTTTTTCTGGCAGATGCTGGGCTAGAAGTAAAAGTAAAAGACCCACCTAAAGGGATGATACCACCTGGAACTCAACTGGTCAAACCAAAGACTGAACCTCAACCAAATAAGGTTAGAGTAGAAAGGAATTGGAACTTGAATTGGTCAAAGATTTTTAAACATTTTTCATTATGCTTCAAAATGTCAATCAAACATCTAATATTTTACTTGATTTCAGAATTTGAATTCAAAATATCCCTAAATAAATTTGGAGAGTAGTTCATAATAATATTTCTAAATTATAGAACGTGTACTTTTTGACTTCTTTGTGTAATGCTGTAGTAATTTGCAGACATTGTATTCTTTCTGTTATTGAAAGTTTTCAATTAAAAAAAGTCTACTGAAATTAAGTATAAAGTTTACAAGGTGAAAATACTTGTGCTGTTAAAAGAAAAATTAATTTCTAAAATCTAAAGAGTAAGTACAGGCATTTTGATAAACTGCTTGTTAAAAAGGAAGCATTGGTAATGGAATTTGTATTATATTTTTCTATAAGAAAAAAGGGCTTTTATCCTTTTTAACATATGTCTTCAAAATTTAGAAAGGACATTACAGTTATATATAATAATTTTCTAAGTTTTTTTTTCAGTAATATACATTTCAATGCTTATAAAAGTTTTATTGTTGTAAATAAACCACTTTTATTTGCAGAGGGAAACCCACTACAAATAATTTTGGAAACTTTCTCAAATTATAGTAGATTGAAATCCGTTTAATTTTATCTCTTGGTACTTATAAGATCTCTATTCCATGTTTTTCCTCTCTCACTGTCCATCTTTGCCTTTCTCAGGTTCGAAAATTTGTGGCCAAGGACAGTGCAGGGCTCCGTATCCGGAGCCACCCTTCCCTCCAGAGTGAGCAGATAGGCATAGTGAAAGTCAATGGAACCATCACTTTTATTGATGAGGTAACTTATAAAGAAACTCTTCATAACAAATTCTGGACAAAAAGTTTTTGCATTGTTTATACAATAATATGGTTACTACGTTTTCTGTTGGGGTATGTTTTAAGCAGTTTAGGAAATGTTTTGAAAATTGCTTTGCAGAAGTGTTTATTGAGTTTCAAATATTTCATTTCATTTTCTTTAGCAATAGAATAATAACTAAAATTATATTTTGAACATGAAAAGTACAGTGTTAAACATAATATTTGTATGTTTACATAAGTATTCACTGAAAATGGGTAGTTTTTTATGAATTTTGAAAATGTTTGTTTTGAAATGTGTTTCTTATATTGCTTTAACTTTGTACAATATATTTTTCTAGTAATACAAACAAGTAATTTCTGATTATTAAAATCTAGATATAAGGGAAGGAAGACTTATGTTCTTTTGGGAAACATCTGAACTTACTGTTTAAACTATTTATCTTAAAACGTGGTTTCCTTGTGCTTTTACTCCAAAGTAAAATTGTTACTATAATCTCACCATATGAATTATCATATTGCTTTGTCATTCCTTGCTGCTTTTTTCCCTAGAGGTTCTCTCAAACTTAACTTCTGCAAAAGCAGATATTTAATCTCCATATCCACCATTATTTGACTACTTTGCAGCCTTTCAGACCTTGCTAGCCTCATAGTAGTTACAGGAGGGCCTGGCTTGTTTCTGTTGCCTTTACCCCATAGATCCACAATGATGATGGTGTGTGGCTGAGACTGAATGATGAGACAATAAAGAAGTATGTTCCTAACATGAATGGTTACACTGAAGCATGGTGCCTCTCTTTTAATCAGCATCTTGGCAAGAGTCTTCTGGTCCCTGTTGACGTAAGTAAAAGGTGGTTTTAAAAAGCGTTACAGGCACACTCTGTCCTCATTACAGGGCTTTCTTTAATTAAGGCTTTTCAGTTCTGAGGTAACCCACAACTAAGTAACTTTTACTTTGTAAGAGCTTAAATTCAAAAGGGCTTCTATGTAATGAAAGTGGAGTTTGGCAAGGTTAAGGCCCTTACTGCTTATTATGATTCATCACAGACAGGAAGTAGCAAATTAAAACTAGGCTTACTGAAATTCTTTTCAGAGAGGTAGAGAATGAGAGTGGTTGCATTTTCCCCCCTTTCTTATTCATACTACCGTTTGGAATGAATTCCAAACTAAAATTTATGAACTCAGAATTATACATTCAGAAACATGTATAAATGTAGTTATGTTGGCATTTTATAATTAGTTTTGTGTGTTTTATCTAAGTTTGAATTTTTTTCCTTCTTGGCTTATATTATTATGTTAATGTAAGATGGATTTTTAGACATGTGATGCTATATAGTAATCTAGTTGAAGTTAAATTCTAATTTTTGAGAGAATTGATTGTACCTCTTTGATAAATGTAGTAGAATAGTTAGAGCCAATGTTCACAAGATTGCTGAATCATGAAATAAAATAACACCTTTTTTATAATTTAACCAGAAAAGTGTGCTTTTTCTCCTTTTTCATTACCATCAAGTGTTTGTGCTCCTTATGACAGTGCTAATAAATAGCACTAGTAAAATTTTATTGAAAAAAAGCTTTAATATTTTAAAAAGTTGAATTTCATAAAAATCAATGCATAAAGTTAGCTTATTATATCAAACCATTCAATATATTATGTTTGTTTTTCTTCTTCCTAGTCCATAATAATGTTCTCCAAAGCAATAGTTTACATAAGATGATTCTTTGGGGAAGAAAATATTGGAACTTCTATTTATATTTGTTGATCTCATTCTTGTTTATATTCTTTTGTGTATTTTATAATAGCATGGTAGAGATTATATATATGTATATATATATATAGAAAGAGACAGGGAGAAGTTATGTGATCAAGAACATTTGGAGAGTGTTGGCCTGCTTTACTGAGATTAAGCTGAACAATGACACATCTATAATTAAAACATTAAATTTTAAATTAAAAAACAGATCTTCTTAAATTTTCCTCATATTTGTGTCTTCAGTTAAAAATAAAAAGGATTTGACCCTCTGGAAAAGGGTGACTACTCTGGAAGAGAAACTGTAATTCTTTGTCATCTGGGGCTAAACAGTTGGCGCCTGATAATTTGAAACCGTTTTCCGTTATAGTAACCAGATATTCCTCAGCATTGTGAAAAGTGTATTTTAAATGAGATATTAATAACTATAACAACCATTTTATACAGGTTTTTTTGACCAATTTAGACTTTTGTGTATTTTATTTAAGAAAATTTCTTTAAGTCCATAATAAAATATCATACTAGGTTATATTACCTTTCCTACCTCCCCCACTCCAAAACAGTCTTCCTGATTCCTTTGTTTACTCATTTGAGGAGATGGTTTTGGAAGGGGAAGATAATCACACTGAGAAAGCAAGAGAATAAACTAAAGTAGGAAGGAAGAGCAAGAAGTGCTATCTGTTGAAGTTCTAAAGCCCATGGTTTCATTTTGGAGCATTGGTGTTCTGTCATTTTATGCGTTTGTCCCCATCCAAGAGATAATTTGTAATAGACCGTCTCCTTAAGGTCAGGGAGAGAAGAGTAATGACAGAGGTAAGAGGAGAGTAAGGTGCAGAATGAACCATACAAATACTTGTTGGTGGTTTTCACTGGAATGTGAATGAGGAGGTCATCACTGACTTACTTGAAAAATTTAGATGCAGAATATTAAAGATTGAAAGTAAAATGAAATAGCTTTTGGTATTTTCTAGCTTTTCTTTGTGTTGATCTGTGTTTTAATGTAAGTAGCTCAGAGTGTCTGGTATCATTAGGAAGGCTGAGGTTGTTCTGGTTCCTTTATTTTAAGGGTGATAACAACTTGAGATTTTTATAAATTAAAGGAAAGATACCAGTAAAAAAGGGAGAAATTAAAGATGTAGATGACAAAGCTGAAGACTGAAAAAAGGAGAAAGAGAAAATAGAATTAAGGGCACATCTGGAGAGGTTGTTTCTGTTATATAAAGGAGGAGGATATGCATGACAGTAGTTATTATAAGATTTGAAGGAGGGAAGGAAGAGGTCGAGGAGACCACAATTTCCTTAAAATGGAAGAAAAGAAAGCCATCAGTAGAGAATGAAAAGAATGAGTTAAGTGAGAGAGTTTAGAAATGTAGTGAAGATTTGGAATAATGTTTGAGAGAAATAGGAGAGAGATCTGACTCTGAGCCAAGAAAGCAGATTATATTAATAGTACTGTTTGGAATATTCTGAGCTGCTATGAGAGAAAGCAATTAAGATCTCTAACTTTGGGACTTTGGTCTCACACCTAAGTTTGTGATGTGAAAGGACAAATGGAGGATCCAAGGGACTTAGAGGATTTCATAAAATCCTAGAACAATATAATGATTGCACTGTAGTTAAAGAGCTGGAAGAATATAGGCAATTTGTGGATAAAGTAGAATATTTGACTTCATAGATGGAGCAGTTTCATGAATGAGGTGGTCCGTTGTGTTGCCATAGAAGGTAGCTCAATTGCAGTGCAAGTGAAAGTCGTTGGAATTGCCTAAGTCTGGGAACTAAGAGGCTAGGCAGTTGGAAAATTATCCCCATGGACATCAAAACACACACATGATGGCAACACTGTGATCCATAAGGTTAAAGATGAAAGCAATTGTGATTACCATTGGAGGAAGGGTCCCATCTGACACAATTTAAAGTTGTGGGAGGGATGGGAATAGTTTGATGTTGGTTCAGGAAGAAGCATAGAACAGTTTTAGAGAGGATAGGTAGATGACATAAGGGTTTATATTTTGGGTGGTGATCTAAGATGACAGAGAGGATACAGTGTGGCAAAATTAACTGGCGTAGGGCTGCAAACCGATCTGGTATTAAGTTACTTCAGTGCAGGTGTTAGGTAGGAACCCACCTAGAGTCAGAGACCAGGCATAGGCAGGAACAGGCTTAATTTTCCAGGGTTTTTTTCTGTAGGGACTAGGTCAGGCAGTAAGTAAGTAAGTTTTTGATCTTACAGTCAGTAAGTTTTTGATCACCTTACTGTGCAGGGCTAACCCTGATAGGGCATAAAGGGAGTAATGATTCCATCTCATCCCTCAAGGAAAGTACAGCTAAATAATTTCAGCTTGCTACCTCTTCTTTTGCATCTCTTACTACATTTAGTGCTGGGAAAATGTTTTCCATCTATTCTTCCTTCTTACTTCAATCCATCTGTGAATAAGCCAACTATAATTATGGCTTATAATTGTAAAACACTACCGAATAAAAAAATGAAAGCTGAGAAATTTGGAATAAAATTAGAAATAACCAAAGACCAGTGCCACAACTTAAAAGGATGCAGAAGTGCCAAAAAGTTGCCTGTAGCAATCTTTACATCTACCTCTTCAACCTTTTGTAGTTAGAACAATTTTGTATTCACATCAATGTGGGTACTTTACTTGGATCTGGACTCAAACAAACTGTAGATGGGAGTAGGGGCAGAGATTGGAAATTTGAACACTGACTGAATAATTGATGAACTATTAAAAAATAAGATCACCGTAAGTAACCCAATTTAGAATAACTTTTAAAGTGATTTTGTTATACTGTCTTGTCTATTTACTAATATTTTAGAATTCTTGTGTTTGTTGTAGATACGTACTTTAGCTAAATTTTGGCCTGCCTAACAGTACTATTTAAACACCATTTCTTTACTAAGAAATATTGATGTCCTAACTTAGTTCAAATGTGACTTTGTTTTAGCACTTTAGTAATGCTCTAGTTTAGAGATTAAATAGTATTAGACATTTATGTTTTGACTGCATATTTTCAAAAATAATTAAGTCTGTAGGAATATGGGGCTAAATGGTCAAATAATGTAGATGCTTTGTGAGGCATTCATTATCTATTATGTAGAACTTTTTGTACTTTTTGCAGCATACTCTTCAATTTTCCATCTTAGAGTCTTTGTTTTTCATTTATCTATGATGCTTTTGCTTCTATTTTTTTCTAATCTTTTTCTACTTGGCCAGACTCAGAAATTTCTGTTGATGATTTTCTTCTCTGTACTTCGATAATGCTATAGTCCTTAATTCATTAATTGCTTATTCAATATATATTTGAGTTCTTGTTATGTGCCAAATACTAAGCTGCACAGTAGGTATTAGGTGGAGGGGCAGAGGGGAAGGATACACAATAAATAAGATGAGGTGCAGTTCTTGCTGTTCAGGTACCCAGTATATAACGTGGTAGACATACCATATTCAAATAATTAAGTTGCATTGTGATAAATTGTGGAATGGCTTTGCTTAGGAGGTGACATTTGAAAGTCTTGAAGAATGGTTGCCAGGAAAAAGTGAAGGAATTTCTACCCAGAGAATCAAATGTCCAAAGTTATAGGGGCATGCTGTGTATATGAATTGATGAATAGCCGATATGGGTGAAGCAAAGGATTGAGGGTGGAAAGCAGACATGTCCTGGGAAAATTAGGTCTTCTTCTTCCTTCTCAGGTAGCACTTAGTCTGTAGCACTAGAAAGGCTTGCTTCCTCCTACCCATAACATTTAGTTTGTTTTTTCCTACCTTCAGCCTATTTGTATTTATATACCTCTTGTTTCTGTTGTTAAGCTCCTTAAGAGTAAGGACTCATTAAGGATCCCTTCTTACTCAGATTTGTTTCTTCCAAAATGTTAAATACTATACTTTGCTTGTAGTAGGCTTTCGACATTTGTTGATGCTTAATTGTAGTTCTTTGCGTTTAGTATGATCATGCTGCTTAAAATAATTCCTAATACATATATACTCCTTACCTTGATTGTTTCATTTACATCTCAGTGTGACCCTGTGATGTTAAGTATATTTATCATTTTTCCAACGAGGAAAGATAGCCACTCACCCAAAATCATATGTAGAAAGTAGTGGAGCTGATGCTGGATCTCCAGTTGATGTGATTCCAAAGTTCAGTATGCTTTAATGTAGTGGAGAGATAAGGATAAATATAGTTATAAAAGGGTGATGTGAATATATATAAAAATCATATTACTTTGGCTATAACTGCCAAATTAAGTAAATATGAATACTCATAACCTTAATGGTTGAAAGAGAATGAATACCATGGTATGTATTGAAGGTGACAGGAGTCAATCTGACCTGCCTAGAGAATGTTGATTTTTAAATTAAAATTCTAAAGATTTGGAAACTACAAAATATGAGCTAGTAAAATGTTTCACACATAAAGGAAAACATAAGTTAAAAAAAGGATGAATCTATTTTGCATATGGCATGGGAGACATTTGACTGCCTAGAATGAAGAGCTTAATGTTTTAGAAGTCAAATTTACTTCTATGATAGGAAATGTTAGTGATTTGAAACTTATACGTGCAATTCTTGGAGTACCTTGTCAAAAATAAGATTTTTCAGCATTGTGAGAGGAGTTGAGTGAAAGAGAAGGTTTATATCAAGGAAAGTAGGTGTTATACCAATAGAAGTATTCCAAGATGGCTTTATAATAAATATCCATATAATTTAATTCTTGCAGAAGCAACTTGGGTCTCTGAATATCTCTATGCAGTTATGCAAATCACTTTCTATTTAGGCTAATGGTATTCACACAGAAAGTATGATGATTTTCTAAAATTTGGGGCACTAAAGATTTGGAGTAGAGATGAAGGGAAAATTTCATTTGATGGACACTTTTGTAGCTTTACCCAGGATAATTGGTAAAATTAGTAAGTATTTCTTGCATTTTAAATCCAATTTCAATCTTTTGGGTTACCTAATAAAGCCTAGCAAGTCACAGTTTTAACATACCCCAAATTTCCCTGGTTTTGTTTTGCTAATAGGTTTATGTGTGTGTATATATATACATATAACCTATTTTTTAATCTTAATGCAGCATTAGTAAATATGCTGTTCTTAGTTAAAAATAGCTTTATTTCATTCTTCGGTATTTAAGTTTCATAAACAGAATGAGATTAAGAGGCAGTTAAAATAATACTATAATTTTTATATACGCTATGTGTAAGTTTTCTGAGTTTTTTTTTCTTTTTTGCTCTATAAATGGTAATTCTTAGCTCTGTGCTTATCTAGCATGATGAAAGTTTGTTTTGTTCTGTTTTGTTTTTGTGTGAGCATTTGGCACGTTTGGTCACATATTTTTCACTGTGATAACTATTCACTTATTTGGTCTGTTGTATGCCTTAGAAGATTATCAGCTTAGAGTTGCAATTTGGTGCTCATTAATTTAATTTTTAGTATACTTTAATTTTCTTAACTGTTCTGCCTTTAAAGTGGTATTTGAGAATAAAATGATTTAAATTATTATACATATATGCATGTGTGTGTATACACACACACACACAAATAGTAGTGCTCATATTAAACTATGAAATTATATAATATGAAAGCTAACATATTTTATCAGTGAGAAATTGAGGCTTTGGAGAAGTTAATATTTTCATGTATGTTCATACCTTTAAACTAAAATGTTCCTAAATTTTCAAAAGCAAAAAGTATATATATGTGTGTGTTTGTATATAAATGGTTGGTTTGTTGTCATTTTTGTTTTGTTTTGTTTTTTGAGATGAGGTTTCGCTGTGTTGCCCAAACTGGCCTTGACCTCCTGATCTCAAGTGATCCTCCCACCTCAGTCTCCCAAGTAGTTGGGGCTACAGACACGTACCACCATGCCCAACTGTTCAATTATATTTTATTTTTATACTCCAGCTTTCTATTTGGTGAATTTTTGATACTTGAAAAATGCAATTTTATTAGGACATTATACAGTTTGAAAATAATCTTTTTTTTTTTCCAAAGCACCTGTGACAAAGGATGAAAATAATCTTATAGTAAACCAGTGGGGATTAAGAATTTTCAACAATTGCAAAACAAAAGCAAAAAAAGTATCAAATTTGAATTCACATACAATTAACACATACAGAATTGGTTTTATTGGCAATTCGTTAACATGTTTAGCAGTTAATCATTTTAAGAGTATCATTGTACATGCTGTTGACCCAGAAGGCACTTCGAAATAGGCCGGGCATGGTGCCTCATGTCTATAATTCCATTATTGCAGGAGGATCTGTTGAGGCTAGAGTTTGAGACCAGCCTGGGAAGAGACCCCATCTCTATTAAAAAAAAAAAAAAAATTAGCTGAGTGTGGTGGCATATGCCTGTGGTCCTAGCAGTTTGGGAGGCTGAGACAGGAGTATTGCTTAAGCCTAGGAATTCGAGGTTATAGTAAGCTATGATCTGGCTATTGTACTTGCCATTGCAAAACTCATCTTATGTTTTTGAGGCCTTACTAAAAACTAAGAGAGGTATAAGCTTTAATTATTGTCAGTCAGTCACCATATTGCTTCTTTATTGCTGACTTCACCTGCATTACTTTTAGCAATTGTTTTTCACGTTACTTTTAATACTAGAATAACTTATGCTAAAAGATAGAAAATGCTAAAAATAATCTTGATATTGTTTTATGTCAAAAGGTCTGCACCATTATTCTCTGTAAGGGGGTAAAATTATTGAGCAAATTCTCCAGATTCTTATATACATAGATGAACCAATAAGGACAATTTTTTACCCCTCCCTGCAAAATAGCATTTCAAACGCTTTGCAATATGTTTCTACTTTACCTAAAGAGAAAGGACTCTATTTGCTATCCATTTTAAAATGGGGGAGTGGTAGGCATATTGTTAGAAAGTCATTTTTTTCAGGCTTTGATATGTCTTATATTTATGAATTAGCATATATGTATATAAATGAGTGTCTATCCACATCCATCCGTATACATGCATATGTGAAGAAAATATAGAACTAGAGAATAGTAAATAAATTCTCCCTGTCTAAAATGACTTATAATTGGGAATTGTATTGTTTCTTTTGTATTGTACAGAAGTCTTAGGTGGTAATTTTTTTATTAACATTTTGAGTATCCTCTTTTTTGATTTAAAATAACCATTTATCACAATATTTACATAAGCAGTAGAATTTGTATAATTGCTACTCATTGGAAAGATATTAATTTCAGATCAGATAAATATGGATTGATAGCATGATATGTCTATGTAAAATGTATACCATTTAAATTTTTGATAAAACATTTTGTGAAAATGTTGATTTTTCTGGGATCATGTTTCTTTGAACTGGTTGTTTCTTAACAAATTTTTTTAGACTTTGACAAGATATCCTAAATGCTCTGTACATTTCCTAAACTTTGAGCTGAAGAAAAATAGGCTTTTGATAAAAG